TGATGTGTTGCGTTTTTAACGCATTCTAACCTATGCTTTTTGAATTTTATCGAGTATTTTCTTTGCTTTTAAAGTCTTTTCAGGTTAAAWCATGTTTGGATGAAGTTTAACGTCAACATGAAGTAAGGAATCGAAGAAAGGAACAAAGGAGCATGAAAAGAGGTCAGATCGATCGATCCATAAGTGGATCAATCGATCCAAAGTTTTAACAAAAAATCAGAGCACCAGTGGATCGACCGATCTGAAGTTTTAACAAGTGGATCGATCGATCCATAAGTGGATTGATCGATCCAAAGTTTAAAAAAAAAACAGAGCGCCAGTGGATCGACCGATCTGAAGTTTTAATAAATGGATCGATCGATCCGGTCCTCAGAACTGCACAAAAGAGAAAAAAAATCAGCTCACCTAATCCCACTTTACCTTTGACAAAAACGTGTTTTAGCATATAAGAACTTGTTTTCCATCTCAATATTGAAAAAAAACTTTACTTTTCTTGTTCTTAGCTTAAAACTTTCTAAAAAGAAGCTGAAATTTGGACCTGGATAAATGATTGAGTCATCTTTCATCCAAAAGAAGTTTGAAGTCATTTGGATCAACGTCCACGATTAGGAAGAATCCCGAACTAGGGAGATCGGGTCTGAATAATATCGAGCCATTGGGCTCGGGTTGGAAGAATAGAAATCCGGCGAAGCTGGGTTCAGTAGTAGCAAGGCCAAACATTGGTCTCGGTTCAAGAGAATGCCGGTTTGAGAAGATCATCGCAAGTCTTGGATTGGAGGGCCGACTACGACAACTCCAGTTCAAGACCGAGTTGAAGAGCAAAATAAATGTGTGGGGTGACCTACGGAACCTACATCTCGACGGACGAAGGCTCTGATGTGTTGAAAGAGTGAACAATTCTCCCGTGCTAGCACATTTGCCCATCCACATCAAAAACATCGTAAAGCAAAAAGTACAGTGATAACTATACAATACAAGTGGCCAAACCAGACCATAGTCATGTTGATTAACATTGCTTCAGAAGATAATTAGCATTAGAGATAACTTGAAAAATACAATGGGTAGCATTAGAGAAGTGGTGAATGGGACACAAAAAAGTGATTAATGTCGTTACTTTTTGAGGGTACAAATTTTTTAAAGGACATCTATAGCTAGCGATCATGACAAGTGAAGTCCCTAAGCCAAAGCTCGTCCAGTTGCTTTGGGCAATCTCTTGGATGCACCTGAAACTTGTATTAACTAATGATAAGATGGTTTTTGCCAGCGAGGTGCAGAAGTGTGATTGATAAAATGTATTAGATAAGAAAACGTTTACCATCTTCAACATCCTTAAGCTGATAGTAGTGAGGAGCTATCTCAACCAACCAGTTTGGTGTTAACTCAGTTACCTTCATTTTCAATTTAACCAAAAGTTAGTGTATGCACAAACAGACTCCAAATATCGGAAAACTGAAATCATTTAAGTTTCAAAGATGACGGAAAGTTACCTGTCGCATATATTCCTTAGAGGTAAGGACAAGTTCATGGTATACAACCCACCTGGGTAAAACCTAAAAGAAGGAGCTCAATAAGAATCTATCAATAAATCAATATAAGTTGGTTTTGTGGACTTACTTGAGATAAGCCTGAGCTGGGATATATATGCACTGTCAAGGGATGTTTTGCAGTTCGATATGATCCATTCTTCTGTAGCTTAGCGGTATGAGGGAAAAAACCTGATAAGATTAGAAACAACTTATCAGAAAACAAAATTTGTTTTAAGATAAACAAAATTTGTTTTAAGATAAACAAAACTGAATTTATAGGGTAATAAATTCACCTGCTACGATGGACTTCCTTACTAAATCCAAGTTGTGAAAGTTACTGCTGACTTTTATTTCCACTCTCTCGAGAAGCCTCTCTAACTGGTCACGGATATCCCTGGCTCTTTTCATGCTCCTGACCTTAAAATTGTTAATTCAAACCTTTGTCAAATTGATTTACATCAACACAACACAATTATAAGACACTAGACAATGAATGATGGATGGTAAGGAAATATACTTGAATGTAGTTCTCATAGCACCACTGAGTGGAGTAGTTTGTTTCCTTCCACGAATTATAAACCTTTGGAAAACAAAGAGAGGAGTAGTAAACAGAGTTGGCAAGAAAAGCAGCGTGAGAGATAGAACAATTTAACAGTACAAACCTTTAGCAAAGCAATGTGATCTCCGACATTTCCGGCGTGAAAATTCAACCTCGCATTGTCAGCATGAACTTGCTTGTCCTTGGGACGGTAGAAGATAGAACTTCCCACAGACAACATAGCATCAATAGAGATTATCTCATCAGAGCACATGTATTTCTCAGAAGCAACAATCATTTTCGACAACATAGGATCAAGGGGAAACTCAGCCATCTTTCTCCCAACTTTGGTCAGTTCACCTAATTTATTTAGAGCACCGAGAGCAAAGAGTAGTTCCAAAGCCTTAACAAGTGCTTCAGCAGGGGGAGGGTCCATGAAATCAAAGTTCAACAGATCATCAATTCCAAGACTCTTCAAAGCCAGTACAACACTTGCAAGATTTGTCCTTTGTATCTCTGGTACCGTATTGTCCTCCATATCCTTCTGGAAATTATAAGCTGTGTACAGCCGAAAACACTTCCCTGGGCTAGTTCTTCCAGCTCGGCCAGTTCGCTGCATTGCCGAAGCCTTGGAGATAGGTGTTACCAGCAAAGATTCCATCCCATTTCTCGGGTTATACGATTTGATCTTACAAAATCCTGGATCTACAACGTACTTGATACCATCAATGGTAAGTGATGTTTCGGCAATATTTGTTGCTAGAACTACCTTACGAGCCCCTTCGGGTGTTGGTTCAAATACTTTGGCTTGGATTTCACTTGGAAGGTTCGCATAGATTGGGCATATAATGAGTTCACGAATCTTTGTACCAAAACCTCTTATCTTGTTCTTCAAAGTTTCTTCTACATTTTCAATTTCCTCTTGACCAGGGAGGAAGACCAAAATATCTCCAAGTGGCTCGCTTACATGTATCTGAAGAACAGTTACTAGTGCTGCATCCAAGTAATCAGCTTCAGGTGCAGCTACAAAGCTAATGTCAACTGGAAACCTTCTTCCTGGGAAAATAAAGATTGGGGCAGCGTCAAAATAATTAGAAAATTTCTCTGCATCCATTGTTGCACTGGATATCAATAACTTCAGTTCTGGTCGAAGCCGTGCCATATCCTGTTATACGAAGAAATAAACAATCATGATTTAAGAAATAATCCAACCTTCCCACATAAATAAGAGAATCATTGTTTGAAATTTATACTTGCCTTCACTAATCCAAATAGTATGTCGGTTGACAGAGTTCTTTCATGCGCCTCATCCACAATAATGACACTGGAAAGATTGGCAAACAGTAAATATTATTTTAAGTCCCATGCTATTTAAATTTCTGAATGAATATCTGTTACCTGTAACTCGCCAAATCTGGTTCCCCAAGTAGCTCACGCAACAACATTCCATCAGTCATATACTTGAGGACGGTTTTCTCTGAAGTGCAATCCTCGAATCGAACAGAATAGCCAACCTGTGAGCACCAACTATAATATAATCTCATAGGGAATATATGATGATAGTGCAAATTGTAAGCAACTGTAGATAGATTAAATGTTTAGAGATTAAAAGAAACTCATCATACGTCGTGTCCTAATTTGACACCCATCTCCTGAGCAACGCGTGCAGCTACACTCATAGTTGCAATTCTTCGAGGCTGCGTACAGCCAACCTGCAAGAAGATTATTCTACTTTGCTTAATAAAAGGAAGCTACTCTGCAAACAGTTCTACATGTTCAACTTATTCAACCAACCCTATAGGTAGTACATAAACGTATTTGTCCTAAATGCAACTACACCTTTAGTATATTTGCTTCTAATGAAATAGAAAACTTAGACAGAATTACTGAGCTGCTAAGTTTTTTTAAGCTAATAGCTCTCGAAAAAAGAAATTAGCACATACCAATATTTTGATGAATCCTATACTAAGAGTTCAATGTTATGTGATCTATAGTATAAATGTAATTAATATGTGCAAAAATTAAGGTTCATCGTAGGTTGTACCTTCCCGTGCTTCGTGTAACCAGCTTCATGAGATATTGTGGTATTTGTGTAGTCTTTCCTGAACCAGTATCCCCCACAATGACAAGAACCTACTCACTTAAACAATAAGAGCAATGGAGCTCAACTGTATGAAACAAAAAAAAAGTACAAACTAAACAATACGAACATATAATCATTTCATAATCCAACAATAAAACATGACAATGACTTTTGATGGGTATTTCTCATAAATATATTCTCTGGCAATATTGTTTATTCCAGTGCTATGTCAAATAAAACTGTTATCTATACGGTCTTTGAAGTTTAAGCACTTACGTAAGTAATTCAACAAAAATTAAATGATATAATAGCAAGAATCACCTGATGATCTTCAATAGCCTTAAGCAGTTGATCACGAAATGAACAAATTGGCAGCGTTTTTCTTTCATCCTGATCCAGACAGATAAAAGCAAATATATTTTTGTTCATTTCTACTAGAAAAAAACTTTTACTCTAAGGGAACATGCAATTATTCAGAAAAACTACATTGATTAGAGAATACAGAAAAAGCTTATAAGTTAACACCTACAGCATCTCGAAAGATGATTTTCTCGAAAAAGATTGACCTGTTACTGGAAGCATCTCATCTTCATACTGCATAAGAAAAAACAAGAATTGAGCCACAGCTCAGCATATGATAGAAACATTATAAGTTTGGATGAATGAAAATCATTAGCAATACATTTTCACCAGCCAACACAGATGCCTTTATGAAGTCTATTTGATCCTCAAGTACAAACCTACAGTATAAGAACCAAAAAAGTTTTACAAACCCTGAAATAATGTAGTAGAACACAAATACAGGAACACATGCAACAAATCTTACTTATAATCATCGGACGCTTGTTTGTTCTTTGCGCCAAAACTTAGTGTTGCTTTTCCTGCATTATCATGTCATTTCAATCATGGTTTCAACAGAACAATGCCATTTATACCAACGTGGAAGACAATATTCTTGGACGATAGAAGCGTTAAAATATAAACTTACCAATCTGATGATCCTCCCAAGCTTCTTGCTCGGCAAAAGGGTTCATTTTTTGGATTGAATCCACGTCCCTTGTCAAACAAAGTAATTTGGAACGTCTTTAGGATTTAAGGAAAACAGACAAGTGATCTCGCAAGTCAAATGAGAACGTGCTGGATTACTAGCAATGCAATCCTTGTCAACTCACTTCTTTGGATCTACAACAACAGAAAATCTCTTCTCCTGATCAACGCCTCCATCTTGATCATAAGCATCTGGCATAATATACTGAACTCCAGACCAATTGGAAAAATGGAGGCAAGTGTTAAATGTATGAAAGTGTTCAAAATAAAGAAGAAAATTCAATCCATCCAAACGCATTTTCACACGAGATAAGTAACCATTTTTTTAGTGTCGGGAACAAGAAAGGACCCTTGAAGATGTAAACATTACCTCATCAGTATTAGCGTCTTCATGTGTTCTTTTGATCACAAGATCGTAGAGCTCTTTCTTGTATCTGTCAACATATCAAATCCGACCGAACTTAATTAGCTGATATCAAAGACAATCATAACTAATATATTTGTAAAAAAAATTATTTAAGAAAATTGAACAAAATAACCACGATGATCAATCTTTTAGTTGTATTAAAAAATCATGTCACCAGATAATGACAGTGGTGCAGGAAAGATATGGCAGTTACCTGAATTCGTTACTTTCTATCTCGGTGAGCTTTTCACTTCCGAAAAGATATTGCTCATCTGCTATCTCATCCCTAGACAGAACCAGTAGAAATTTGCAATGGCAATTACGGAAGCTGAGAATCAATTAAAAAGAACACAACAGTTTCTGAGGAGATAAAAAAAGCCATGTACTTCAGTTCTTCCAGCTTTTGCTTTTCCCTTTTCTTCAAATACTCTTGTCTCGAGGCTATTCTGAATCAACCCAAACAAAAATATTTTAGTAAATTAGTCTCCAAGTACATCAGTTTAGACAGTAGGAGCACCGTCAAGAATTGTTAAGAGGGTTGACATTGTCAACATTAGTTAATTGCAAATCAAAACTTTTAAGTAGAATTTCAAGAGATGGAAAATAGTTGTACCCTTTTCAATATTTTTAAATCATATTATGCATTATGCAACATTGAAACAATTGTTACAAGTATAATATTGGTATATGTATGATATCTATCTAAACACAAAAAAATATGGAAAACTTTATCGAGGGAAACACCAGGAGTACCTTAAAGATGCAATGTCACTCCTTTCCAGAGCATTGGCTCTTCGAACAGCCTCTCCTGTTATGCAGTTAAAAATTGGAAAAGGAAACCATATAAGAAGCCAAATTTATGATGATAACATTATGCAACAAATACGTGTTGATGCATGAGCTATAGCAAGCTGTACCTTTCTCTTGTTTAGCTATGCTGGGTTCTGATAACTGCATATTGAATAAGAGAGAGGTCACACGGCAGTATACAATACATCTAAAAGTCAATCATACTTGCCAAAAATTCAGGATTGAGCAAGATGTAGTGTATTAATAATGTTTGCCTCTTTCATTTCACCCCATTAAACCAATTTAAATTTTTCCTATTATGAGGAAAGTAGCTTACTAAGAACTCAGGCATAATGGCAACAAAACCTAGCAGCTGGATGGCTCAGTCAATATTATCAACATAGGAAATCGACAAAGCATGTATAACAGCAAGATTCTATATAGAGTAGATAACAGGCTAAGCATCCCAACAGTTAAATTACAGCATACCTTTCGTGTCCGTGTAGTATCATATTCTCTGATATGATGCTCCAGTTCCTCTCTCTCCCTCTGGTCTTGTAATCTATCCTCTTCTGACTGAAAAAATATATAAATGCCCAAAAAAGATAGACAAACAAGAAGATAAAATAAAGCACTGTTGCTATCCAACAAACACGTACAGAGAGATATATAGTTGTTAGATTCTCCGTGACCCAGAACACTATGCAAGCCATCAGACATACCTCTGAGTCTGCCTCCTGGGATAACTCTCCCATGACACGCCTATCGTCTTCTTGAACATCCATCTGCATTGTCGTTTACAGTAGAAAAACTATGGTCAGAAGAGATGCCAAGCTTTTACGTATCTAAAAAATAGCAGGGGGAGAGTGCTGTTTGAGGAGAGAACACAATACCTTGTCATCTTCATCTTCTGATTTCAAACTTTTCTTTCTGTACTTTTTGTTTCCTTTGTCAGGCTTTCTAGAATCACAAGATTTCGTCTCCACAGAGACTTCACCAACATCTGTTTTATGCTTTTTAGCTAACCTTGCTGCCTCTGTTTCCTCTTGCTGGTAAATCTGATAAAAGAAGATTAGACTTTAGACATATGGATATATTAATCAACTGTTACAGCCACAGACACTATCTATAAAAAGAAAAAATCTTCATAGCAGAAACTCACATTTACAGCAACCGCTTTAGCACATATGGCTTCTGCAAATGAAAGAGCATCAATGGATGAAAACCCGTAATCCACCAACCGGGGCACTAGCTCAGAAGGTGATCTTGAACTCTTAGCTGCACTTGGAAAACCCCAATTGTTAAAAATGCAAAGAATCAACAATGGAGCGGTGTGTAGTTAGTTACCCATTGCAATGAGATACTCAATGACAGCAGGTTGCGAATAGCCAAGCACAACCATCAGTTTGTCGGAAACCCACGACTTCAAATTATCGCCCGCCATCTCCAAAGCAACGCCACTAAATTAAATTAATAAAGTATTCTATTGCGACTTTTTTTCTTTTTTAATTATTAGATTATTATAACATCACATTGACTACCAGAAAAGCCGACCTTTGTTTTGACCACAGATAATTAAGAAGGATCTCTCTGACTAAATATGTAAAAGAAAAAATAGATGTGGTTTTCCGAAAAGAAACTTACAGTGCGGGAGAGAGGGCAATAGAGTTGCTAGAGAAGATTCAATCGCGCGTCTGAAAAAGACAATGTTGTCGGAATTCTGCACTGTGACCTAAGACGAAACCCCCAGTTGGAACAAGATTTACTGAGATTTTTTTTTTTTTAAATATAGAAACACGTGCTGCATGAGCGGCCCATTAAACTGTTTA